ACAACAATGAAAAGATCTTACATTTTACCACAATAATGCTCTTGAAATAGTAAAACATTTATCGTCTCCTTTCATACAGGCAAATCAACATCTATACTGTGTAAATCCTAGAAATTAATCAGTATCTGCAACACATCGAAGATTTCCACAGTACACTCATATTTAATAATTTTAAGAATTAAAAGCTTACAAAATTCGACCTAGCCCCTTGTTTCTTGGACTTAGCATGTAAACAACCAATGCAATATCACACCAGATCACCGCTTTAGGAATAGACTCCCTGCTCTTCTCCCCAAGGATGAAGTTTAAGGTGATATTTTTGTGTTCTGCAGACAAGGGTAGTTGCACGCATTTCAGCCATCAGATTCCAATTTCCACAACAACACTCTTTAATTTCAGAGAGTGACACAAGCCCCAAGAATTTTGAAAATGTGATGTCAACTAGGGGCTGGTAGGAAGGACAAATTCAAACATACTTTCCAAGCAAAGTAGCAACATTATAAGGGTATACTAGTTGCATACAACTTTGAGACTTTCTAAAGGACACATCAATGCCCATTCTACACTAGACATTTACAAAATCATCACAAGAAGCTATCACTAAATCGTTCTGGCAAAAGGGGCACATTTTTCGATAATGTTAATTTAACATGATTAAAAAAATTGCTTAATGCTCATTAAGATGCAGGCTAGCATGTCTGAAGCCAAACTAGATGGCAGAGCTGTGGAGAGGGAGAAGAGGTGTGTTTGAGATTGAAAGCCTAGTGCTTAGGGTTAAGTAAATGGAGAGTAAAAGAAATGTTTTGTGTGATCACATCTGATTATTAATTCACAGATTTCCACCTTTGCATGCAGAAGGTCACCCACATTACCCCTTCCCAGGCTGAGGACCTCTGTGGTTGGAGATTCAAATGTATGGGAAGATGACCATTGGCTTGTGCAATTAAGTCCACTGTTCCCCACCCATGCCACTGAGAAGCCACATACAAATTAATTCCATTCTCAAGCAGCGCCCCCCTTCATGTTCTGGAAACTCCCCTTTGGAGGAGGTAGGACTAACAGGGCAATGACCAGTGAGAGAAAATTGAACAAAGCCCCTTTAAATAAATTATTCTGCAAGGGAGCCAAGTGAGGATGGGGGAAGCACTAACAGTGGACCTGGAGCCAGTGGGCCTGTATGCAAGTGGCCGGAGATCATGTCTTAAGAATCTTAAGGCTAAACTGAATGCCTCTTTCACACACTCTCTCTCTCTCAACCCTGCAATGGTCTCTCCAGTCATAGTTCTGGTACCACATATTACTTCACCAAACAGAGCTATCAGATTCCAGGTTATCCATTACATCATATTAAAGATAGATCTCTTGAAGAATGATCCATGCTAGTCAACAACCAGCAGATGACAAGCAGTATAGCTGTAATTCATTTAGTAACCACCCAATAACACACATATGCCGAGTTATAGCCAGGTCAGGTCCAGGATAGTAGACACACAAGATGGGGGTTGTAATATCCTTTACCAACTTTTGATGCTAAGAGAAACAAGCTTTCCAGCTACCAGAGCTCTTCCTCAGGAAACGGACAAATACATGGATCGCATGCAAGCTTAAAATAAAAAGATGCACTAGTGATGAATTTGGTTCTCTAGTTTCTTGGTATTGAGGCACATTTGTCAAAGGCATGCACTAGTGATGAATTTGGTTCTCTAGTTTCTTGGTATTGTGCCTTTGACAAATGTGCCTCAAAGTGGGTTTTTTTCCCTAAATAATTGCACAGTCAATACAGCTAAAGGACTAGGCTAATATCAACTGGGATCAGAAATTTGACGTTGATAATAGTCCATCTTTTCAGAGTGCCCAAGAACAGCATTTCTGAAGGGCCCAAGCATTCTTCAGCATGGAACTGTGTTTCATGTCATGGTTAGAACAAAAGTTTCAGAGAGGTAGCTGTGTTAGTCTGTAACTGGAAAAACTTAAAAAACAACGAATAGTCATGCAGCACCTTAGAGATTAACAAAAAATGTAGATGGTATCATGAGCTTTTGAAGGCAAAATCCACTTCTTCAGGTAAATGGAGTTAAAGGGTCCAGGTTAGGACAGTTAATTTTGGACTAACCCTATTCTCACTGAGCCAGATCCATCCCTATCTTAGCTCCAATGCAATATGGTTCACTGATGCACTACAACCATTGCATGGTGTGATCTAACCGTAACAGTTTGGCCTTTTGTTCCCAAAATATTTGTGTTACAAACTAGGGAAATAATGTCCAAAATTTATAAAATGAAAATAGTCAGAGAAGCAGCCTTCTGAGAATTAGAATAATGCCCTGACAGTCTGATACAATGATATTTTAGTACTGGCAGTGTGGTCCAGTGGTTAAGGCATTGGACAGAATACTTGGATTATAATTCTAGTTCTGATACTGACCTTATATTTAGCAGTGACATTTTGAGTTTGTTTCCCAGACCTGAAAAAGAGCTCTGTGTAAACTTGAAAGCTTGTCCACCTCACCAGCAGAAGTTACTCCAATAAAAAAATATGCCCTCACCTTGTCTCTCCAGTATCTTGAGACCAACACAGCTACAACACCACTACATAGTTACCTTCTGTGCAACTTCAGAAGGAGAGTAGTTTCACCACTCTATAAAGCTATTTCCCCTTCACCACTTGATTATTTACATTGTTGTAACCACTTCCAGGCAGGGACTGTCTCTTATTAGGTGTCTGTACAGTGCCAAGACAGGCTAACCTAATTGTTTTTTTTCTGTATTCTTTATTATTATGATTATGATTATTAGCAACAACACCCATAAAGGGCAAACATTAATGCTAAAAATGGCAAATGCCGGTGATTCCCCTTCCAATTCTACACTGGTCAGTTCTTACTAAAACCAGAAAAGCAAAAGACATAGCAAGTATCATCAGTAGCAGGAGTTTTTGGGTTAAGGTAAGCAAATACTCCAAGAAAGAGCTTTAGCTGATTATGATGAGTTTCCAAACATAAGCTTAAGAACAGCCAAATCAAGATTCTGATCTCAGTTTTAACTCAAGTGAGAATCCAGGATGGTTTCACTGACTTCAGTGGAGTCATTCTGAATTTACACTAAACTCTGACCTGTTGTCATTTGGTAGAGAAGAGCCAGGGTATATTGAACAGTCTATTAAAATTGTATTTGTTGAAGGTATTCATTTTGAAAAAAGAGTTTCAACTCTTCATAACATTTGAAAACTGTTTGTATCTGTGGTTCATAAAACAGATAAGCTTTGTGACCACTAGGTACTGAATATTAAGTCATTGTGACAACCAAGAATTTACCGGTACATACACACATGAAAGACCGTATCAATACACAGAAGCCTACCATTATACCACATTGAACTGTTCTCAATGAACTTTAGCATGTTAAAAAAGCAATGCTGTATTATTCCATAAAATAAATTAAAATGCCAAATATCTGAATGAGCATACAGAAATCAACGTAATTTCAGCAATGAAATGTTCACAGTGATTTGATTTCCTCAAAGATAATCTAAAATATGTAATCATTTAGATACTTGTCCTCTCCTGTGCCTTATGATGAATCCTGTGTGCAATAGTACTGAGTCAAGCATTAAAATACTGCATAAAGGATTAAAGTATGTGGAAAAAAATCAGTTATTTTATGTATATGATGCCTCTCCTAAACAGCAATCCAATTTAGCTATGCAAATTGCATTCCTTGGTTGTGTGCTTTGGGTGGGTTTTTTGAAAGTATAACGACCTACTCTGGAAACGTAAATCCAAGGGCCCTAAATCACTTCTTCAGGAAAATGTCTGACAGAACAGACCAAGACACACAAGCAAACTAATTTATCTGATTCAGAAAGGAAATCAGAGATACTAATTTAAACAGTAACAGAAAAGAGTGAAACCTCTGGCTACAAAACAGAGTATCACCCATGAGTAGAACTAATCCATCTTTTTTCAAATCTTAGCTGAAAACATTTCCCGTCTTGCGTTCCTGTCTTAATTTCTGTCTCCTCTATTCATAGATTTAATTCAATTCCGTGACCTCTTAATTTCAAGTAACCAAAGTATTCTGGAATAGTTTTTTTAAAAAGGAATACAAAACCCAACATCTATTAGAGCTGGCCAGAGAGAAAAGCAAAATTCCTCTAACACAAGCCTTTAATGGTTATGGCTTTTCCGAGTCCCCATGTGTATGCTTAATGTCTATAATACGCACACAAACGTGTGTGGGGGCACACATCTGCCTGCGTCTATTTACAGGTACATGTGTCTCAGTCAGGCATGTTCCAATGGGTATACATATGGGTCTTCACATCTCGGTGTGCTTGCAGGTCTGTGCGTCTTTATTCATGGGCGTCCCTCTGTTGACGCGTGTCTCTTGTGGACGTCCAGTCCTTACCTCTGCAAGTGAATGACTTCACCGGTCTCCCCCGCGGGCTCTAGGTGAACGTATGGCCCATGCGGCGTGGAGTCCTGTGGCACCTTATAGACTAACTGAAGTGTAGGAGCATAAGCTTTCGTGGGCAAAGACCCGCTTCGTCAGATGCATGTGCCTGACCTGTGCCTGCCCCCTCTCAGGGTGCACAGGTGTCTCTGCAGGGGACCCCAGGCGTGCAGGAAGGGGCTCATCCCCACTGCCTGGGCACGTCTCCCTGTGCGCCCCCCCCGGAGTCCTGTGGCACCTTATAGACTAACTGAAGTGTAGGAGCATAAGCTTTCGTGGGCAAAGACCCGCTTCGTCAGATGCATGTGCCTGACCTGTGCCTGCCCCCTCTCAGGGTGCACAGGTGTCTCTGCAGGGGACCCCAGGCGTGCAGGAAGGGGCTCATCCCCACTGCCTGGGCACGTCTCCCTGTGCGCCCCCCCCGGGCTCCTGTGCACATGCACATCGATCTGGGGGGGGAGCATCTCCGCAAGGGTGCAAGCCTCCGTGCACCCCCCCGATTTAGCCTGTGGGTGGGAGCCCAGAGAGGCGCCCCCCCCCGCCCCTACCTGGGGATGGTGATGCACTTGGTGTTGATGCTCTGCGTGGTGATCGCCTTCTCCAGCTCGTCCAGCTGCCCCGTCTTCTTCAGCTTCTTCACCAGGCTCTTCACCGCCTTCTCGCACCACTTCTCCTCCTGCCCGTTCTGCTCCCCCTTCTTCCAGCCCAGCAGCCGCTTGACGATGGGGGGAGTGGAGGGGAGGAT